TGCAGAGGTACTTGAATAAGTAGGGCAATGAGGGAATGCACTAAAGTTTACCCAGGGCAAGATGACAGCTTAAAGGGAACAAATGCCTCACTAAAGAGGTTATCTTTCCCACTACAATATACACTCAATGTACACTCAAGGACTGGGCAGGGTATCTGACTAGAGTGCATATGGCCCAGGGTTTGACCTTTAGCATACATACCACAACACAGACATACAACATATATGAATGTGTAAGTCTGTCTGGAGCTATGTGCTTGTGATGTATAAATACTTGTGTGTATGAATAATACTAATATTCAAATATTATCTAAGGAAGATAAATAATTTACAAAACTGAATACATCTGCCTGATAAAGTGCAAGACATTTTTAAAATGCACCTTTCAAAGTACCGTTGACCACTAATTAAAAAGTAATTAATTTTATAAAGCCCTTCTGTAGATCAACACAGCAATGTGCTAAATATAGGATGTTACAGCCTTTGGGAATTCATGAGAGAGAAAATGAAGAGATACTTTGCATAGAGATGGGAACAAATTTACTATGACCATAATACACAAGGATTGAGCCATCAAATGCCAGCGATCATTTTTCTCTGTAAGATCGTCCAAATCAGCAAGGACATCATGTTGGGTTTGGGGAAAATAAAAGATGTAGGTATTAATAAAATGCTTAGTAAAAAACAAAAAGTAAAAAGATTTTTCACCAAAATTTTGCAGCAATATTTTTCAAAATAGCACTGGTTCTACCAATTTTATTTGAAAAGTTATAGATATATAAAAAGCTAAAATAGCATACCCACTCTATTAAACTATAATCATAGAGGGTTTTAAAACTTATGGGCTATTTTTCAAGAGCACCACGAAAGGGAACTTATTAATTGTTCACAATAATGCCAACACTATTTTGTTCACTTGGGACAAGTTTAAAATAAAAACAAACCAAACCCTTCACTACCTAAAAGAGCAGAGCAGACACAGACACGTAACAGAATTTTTAACTCCTCTGGCAATTAACTCCTCTGGAAAATTAACCCATCTGCTTCTAGTTCCTTGCTTTTCCCCTTGTCTGAGACAACTAGCTAAGCAGGACACTTTCCCAGCTTATACACCACAGCATGGCTGCAGGGCCCAAGAGTAAAGCTGCTGTTCAAGAACTGGCAAGGAACTTGGATCTGCCGTAAGCAGCAACTCTCTGCAGATACAAGTGGCCTTCCGACTTCATGCTAACAATATGGTCATGTGCTGGCTAGTTTTTGTCAACTTGTCACAAACTACAGTTAGCTGGAAAAGGGGACCCTCAAATGAGAAACGGCCTCCGACAGATTGGCCTATGGGGCATTTTTTGATTAATGATTGATGTAGTAAGGCCCAGTTATGGGTGGTACCACCCCCTCCCAGGAGGGGGGCAGGACAGGTAGTTCTAGGTGGTAAAAGAAAAGCTGAGCAAGCCATAAACAGTCAGTAAGCAGTGTTCCTCTGTGCTCTTCAGTTCCTTCATGGAGCTCCTGACCAGACCAACTCTCCTTGATGAGGGGCTGTAACGTCTACTCAAACAAACTCTTCCCTCCCCATGCTTTGGGTCATGGATCTTATCACAACACAAAGAAAATACAGCTACTTTCTGTGAAGAGCCAGGAGGATGATCAGATATGATAGACCACCCATCACAGAGGGAGGCACTACGTGTAGCCATAATGTGCCTGGTTTGCTAACTCCAATCTCTGACTCTGTCCCTAAGCACTACCCAGGTATTTGTTGTTGCCAGAATCCACTATGATTTCTCTGCACCTGTTTATAACTTTGTGCAATTACAGCTTTCTAGAGCATAAAAACTACATAATATTTATAGATACTATATCAATAGCTCATACAAGCACATTCATATATATACATATATATTACATTCATATATGTGTGTATATATATGTATAATATAACATATATATATTACTAACTGTGGCGGAAGCTTCCACTTTCCTCTCCCCTCCCCTGGGAAGGTTCCCGTACTCACCTCTCTAACCCTCCGCCGGCTCTAGACTGAATCGGGTAAACACGTTTCTGTGGCTCTTCTGTCCTTCTTTCTGCAAACCTCTCACAGCACATTACAGAGTCCAAGTATGTGAGGGTGAACTTTAAAACAAAGTTTGGTCACTCACACAGACTGCTACCCTGAACCAAAATGGGGATGCTCGGAGATTTGTGACCGTGTTGGGGCATAATATAAATGGGCATACCGAAAGAACGGCAGAGGAAGTCAGCTGACAAGGGTCCCACCTGAGAACGAGGAGTCACACCTAAGCAATGCCTGCTTCCTTTTCTTCATTGCATTAGTTTCTGAAAAAATTCTACTGTCACCCAAACCTCTGTCTATATCATTTACAGTACACACTTACCAGTGTAAACAAAACGCAAACACACTAGTTATGAAACACATTTTATTACTCTATTACCTCTACTCCTTTCAAGCTGTTTACGACCTCTGAAGAGATTCCATAATTTATGGAACATGACCCAAATATGAAATGAGGGGAGTTAGTTGGATAGTGTTTTATTTGCTCATGAAGTCATTAATTCTTTTTTTGTTTTAGAAAACATGGGCCCAAGAGAAATACAGCTATTAAAGTTGAATGCTGAAGTAGATAAGTGTTTTTTAATGCCAACATCAAGAAACATTAATATTTCTGACAGGCACTGTATAAAAAAGGTTTCTAAATGTCTTTGTGAGTGTATACAAACGTGTGTGTGTGTGTCTGTGTGTGTAGGGGGCAGGGAGAGGTCGTTTGGAAGAGGACAGCCCCAATAGGCTGATGCTTGTTCCCTAGTTGGTGGAACTGTTTGAGGAAGGATTAGAAGATGTGACCTTGTTGGAGGAGGTACGTCACTTTTAGGTTTCAAAAGCCCGTGCCAAGCCCAGTCTCTCACCAGCCCCCTCCTCCTCCTCCTCCCTCTCCTCTCCTCTTCTTCCTACTGCTTGTGGATTAGGATATAAGCTATTAGCCACTACCTCACTCCCATACCTGTCTAGCTCCACGCTCCCACCACGATGATCATGACTAACACTCTGAAACTGTAAGCAAGCCCTCATTAAATGCTTTCTTTTATAAGTTGTGTGGTCATGTGTCTTTTCACAGCAAGAGAAAAATAACTAAGAACAGTGTGTGTGTATGGAATCTAAATTAAGGATCTAAAGCAGTTAAGTTTTTCAGTTATTATTTAAGATGCATTTCATGTGGCAAAACATATGCTGTGGCGGTATTCAGGAATTTGGAGGGTCAGCCCTAAGACAACCATTCCTTGAGAGGGCTAAGGATCAATTTTCATGGGTAGTTGTCAACATTTGAGTACCTGGCTCAAGAGATGTGCTCGGTAAACATTTGGCAAACTGGGATGGGTCATTTCAAGAGTGAACAAGGAAATAAATATTAGCAAAGGCCAGTACCATCCTCTGACATAGCAAGCAAATCCTGATGCAGATAGAGAAAGGAACACAGAAATGACAGCACAGAGCCAAAGCAACACGCGTACTTTGACAGCATTAGTAGGAAGAAAGCAGTAAGCAATTAGAACTTGCCTTAGCCAGAATAAAAGACTTAGTTTTTAAAAAGTAAAAGGGTCCCCGTCTTTTAAAAATGTGCATGTTTACACATAATTATAAGAATAAGGAGAAAGACAGAGGGGTAGACACCTGGTTCAGAACGTAAGAGAGGGAGAGCCCCATAAGCTCACTATCACAATCAAAACATTCTGTATGCCACAGTTCCTCTCATACAATTATGTGTATAAAGAAATATTCAACAGCCGATGGTGATAGTGCACACCTTTTATCCTAGCACTCAGGAGGTAGAGGCAGGCTCTGAGTTCATGGCCAGCCTGGTCCACAAAACAAGTTCCAGGACAGAAAGGGTACACAGAGAAAACCTTGCCTCAAAGCAAATAAACAAGCAAACAAACAAAAAAGAGAAAAACAAAAGAGAAAAAGAAATATCCAAAGAGATGTATAGAAGAAATAAAAAAGTCTAGCACATTTTCCAATTTTCAAAAACAACAACAAAATCCCAGATGCCTGATGGATCAATGGACAGGCTGACGGCAGCACAGAAAAAGATGACCAGTCATTTTGCAGAACAGTTTTAATAAGATCCAGTACTTAACTTCTCTGCAGTATCTGGTTTTTGGTACTCTCTCCCTACTTAGAACGTTCTGTTTGCCAAGGCTCACTTCTTTGGCAGCACATTCTCGATCTCTTGAGGTCTCTTTTCTGGCCTGTTTGTACTTTACGGCCCTGTCCCTCAGCCTATTCCTGTACCACAACCTCTCTGTGTGTTATTTCCTGGGCTTCAGTAAGCACCTGCAAAGTAACGGGACTTAAAAGTTAGGTCTCCCTCTATGTCACCAACACACCTACTGAGGGTCTACTGGAAATCTCCGGTGGAACACCCCACAGACACCTTAAATACAATCAGCCAACACTACACCCGTCTTCTTCCCTCTCTCGGTGGCCCTGTCAGTGGACCCGCGATGCAAGCAGGTAACAGACCCAAGCTGAAAATCACAGCTTCACACTGCCCCCAGGATTGGGTGAAGCGGACAAAACTCTGTCCTCCAAAATGTCAGAAGACAAAGTTTCAGAAAAAAAAAAAAATTACGGAAACTGAAGTTCCACAATGCGAGGCACTTGTATAAAGTCTCTGTCCCCTCTCCACGGAGTAGGTTCCCCACGAAGTCTTCCGGGTGGCAGCAGGGGTCAGCTCCCCTTCTCCCATGGGACCGATTGCCACACCTAGGCAGTCGCTAAGCTCCATCTGCGGGACGCTTTGCCTAGCGGCCCCAAGGCTCAAGAAGAGGCTGCAGAGGAGCCGAACCGCCCACTCCCACACGGGACCTCCGATCTCTCCCCAACACCTCAGGGCCGGGGGCCACTACGGACAGCGGGCTACCCGGGAAAGTGAGCAGGCTTCACATCACCCAAACACACAAACTGCCATCGCAGGCTTACCTGGGACCTGGGACCTGCCTGCCAGTCAGTCGCCGAGGTTGTCCAATACCCGGGCCTCTGGCAAAGGCTAACCCTAACCGCGTGAGACAGCCGACGCAAAAGCGCCCGGCCCCAGGACACACAGGGCGCCGCCATGTTGGCTGGGAGCGAGGGCCTGGAGGGAGGGGCGAGAGGCGGAGCCTAGAGACCGCGCAGGCGCAGACTGCCCAGGTGGAAGCGCTTCGCTAGCAACGGGAGCTAGGGGGCGAGTCCTGCCGCCCGGCCTCTCGCCGCTGATGGGTCCTCCCGGCTTTGGCTGCAGGTTGGTTTGCACGTGTTTTTTTCCCCTTGCCGCTAGCTGTAGTAGGAAGCTTTGCTCCCTGGACCCTCCTTCCAAATCCTGTTTGAGTCGTGGTCCTACACTCAGACAAGACTTCTTCATTCCTTGCTCCCATTCCATGAGTTTCAAGCTTGCTTTCTTGTCCGCCTGCCTTCCCAGAGCGGCCTTCTCCTTCTCCTCTCGAGCTCGCCAGCTTTCAGGGCTTATGTCAAGACCTTCCTCCAGCTGCGGGCTAACCGACTTAAGTTACACCTCAGTCTTGTGTGGACCCTTAGCTGTGTGACCCACAGACTGACGACACTCACTGCTCTGCTTTGCTTCAGGGCTCCCACTATGGTATTAACTCTGAACTTTGAAAGCAGTAAGAACAGTGTCTGCTTAGACAAGAATTGGCCTTGCCTTCCGGAACTTATAACTCCTAACAGAAACTCTCAGGGTGATTTCAACCAGGTACAAGGGATGGAATAAAGCACTCTAAGAGAAGTTCCAAACACGTTGAAAGGATCAATCGGCATTTAAAATATACACAGAAAATGAGATCAAAGTGACCAAGTAAGAGGCTGAAGAGATGGCTCAGCAGTTGAGAGCACTCGACGCTCTTGCAAAGGACCTGGGTTTGGTCCCTAGCATTCATGTGGCAGATCACATCTGTCTGTAGTTCCAGCTCTGGGGCATCTAACGCTGCCTCTGTATTTCAAGGGCATCAGTCATGTCTGTGGTGTACATATGTGCAAGCCAAACACTCACATATATAAAATAGAAATCTTTTTAAAGTGATGATGTAAGGGCAGGCATCATACTCTTGTTGCCTCACAAAATAGACCTGTAAGGAAGGGGAAATAACACGATTTCAAAAAAACAGAAGAGAAAAACTCTAAGTGGGATATTTGTTATTAAGAGGAGGAGAGAGGGAGTCAGTTTTTCCCTTTGTTCATTACTACCTTTTATATTAGTGAAAATCTCTTTAGTCTGTGGCCTGGGTTCAGGATTTGGTATTTGGAGAGCAGGATTTTTTAGAGCTCACTAAAATAGAGTGTTGTGATGCTGGCCAGGGAAGCAGGTAGGCTAGCTGCAGATCGATGGTTTTTCCTCCTTTCCACCAAATCCATCCCCTAGTCTCATCCCCAGCTCTGTAACAGATCTATTGTGGCCTCTCCTCACTCTTGCCGACAGATGGGTCATCCAGATAAAAGCTAAACAGAAATGTCGGAGCTATCTGATGTTATAAACCAAAATGGACCTCACAGATATGTACAGAATATTTAACCCAAAACACAGAATATGCTTTTTTTCTTAGCACCTCGTGGAACTTTCTCCAAAATTGACCACATACTCGTACACAAAGAAAGTGAGACTATCTCCTATCTGTTGAGACAGATAGAAGACAATTGAAATAACATCCCATCCTATCTGACCACCATGGATTAAAATTGGATATCAACAACAATGGAAGCAACAGAAAGCTTACAAACTCACCGAAACCAAGCAACTCATGACCGAATAAAAAATAGGTTATGACAGAAATTAAAGACTTTCTAGAAGAGAATGAAAATGAATATCCAACATACCCAAACTTATGGGACACAATGAATGAGGTTTTAATAGGCAAGTTCATAGTACTAAGTATCTACATAAAAAAATTGAAGTGATCTCATACTAGTAATTTAATGGCACATCTGAAAACTATAGAAAAAAGAAAGGAAGAAAGAAAAAAGGAAGGAAGACATCACATCCAAAATGAGTAGATGGCAAGTAATGAGCAAACTCGGGGCTGAAATCAATAAAATAAAAACAAACAAAAGAAGTACAAAGTACCAATGAAACAAAGAGTTGGCTGTTTGAGAAAATGAATAAGACTGACGAATCCTTACCCAAATTAGTTAAAAGGTGAGAGAATATTCAAATTAACAAAATTACAGATTAAAAAAGGAAACATAACTAAAACTGAGGAAATTCAGAGAGTCATAAGGACATACTTCAAAAACTTCTGCTCCAGCAAATTGGAAAATATAAAAGAAACGGATAATTTTCCTGAGACATACCACCTACCAAACTTAAATCGAGATCAGATAAGCAACTTAAAAAGGCCTATAATTCCTCGCGAAATAGAAGCAGTCATTAAAGTCTCCCAACCAAAAAAAGCCCAGGGCCAGATGGCTTTAGCTCAGAATTCTACCAGACTTTCAAAGAAGAGTTGATGCCAACTCTCTTCAAATTATCCCACAAAATAGAAACAGAAGGAACATTGCCCAATTCATTTAGTGAGGCCACAGTTACTCTGAGACCCACCCCACATACACTCAACACAAAAGATAATTACAGACCAATTTCCCTTATGAACATAGATGCAAAAGTACTCAATAAAATACCTTCAGAAAAATCCAAGAACACATCAAAAAGATCATCCACCATGATCAAATAGACTTGATCTCAGAGATGCAGGGATGGTTCAATGTACATAATTCAATAAACGTAACCCACCATATAAACAAAATGAAAACCAAGATCCACAAGCTCATCTCATAGATGCAGAAAAGACATTTGGCAAAATACAACACTCCGTGATAAAAGTTATAGAGAGATTAGGAATACAAGGGACATACCTCCGCATAATAAAAGCAGTTTAGAGCAAGCCAACAGCCAACATCAACTGAAATGGAGAGAAACTCAAACAGTTCCACAAATTCAGGAGCAAGGCATGGCTGCACACTCTGTCCATACTTATTCCATACAGTACTTAAAGTCTTAGCTAGAGCAATAGCACAACTGAAAGAGACCAGGAGGCTGTGAATTGAAAAGGAAGAAGTCCAAGTATCTTTACTTGTAGATGATATGGTAATATAAATAAGCGACCTGAAAAATCACACCAGGAAACTCCTATACCTGATAAACACTTTCAGCATAGAAGCTGGATGTAAAATAAACTCACAAAAATCAATAGCCTTCCTATACACAAAACATAAAAAATAAAAAGGACAGTAGGACACAGAGACAGAAGCATAGAAGAAAACTATGTGAAGATAGAGAAGATTATCGACAACACAAGGTCACACACACACACACACACACACACACACACACACACACACAGAGAGACCCAGAAACTAGGAAACAGACCTGGGGCAGATTTTATTCTCATAATTTCTAAGGAAATCGCACTGGACTTGGATATTCAACATTCAGGAACAAAAAGGGATACCCTTGTGTATTTTAAAGCACTCAGATTATGGCACTTCATTATAGAAGTCACAGCAAAAGAACTAGTGTGTTTTACTAGTACTAGTACTAAAACAACTAAACAGTCCCCCAGTTTTTGCTGCTCCTTTCCTCAAAAGGTAGAACCCACCCCTTTAGGATCAGCTGACCGAACGATCTGCCTCTGAGAAGCAGAATAATGTGGAAGTCATCTTTCCACAGTACTTTGGATTTCCATCTCCTCTTTTCCTCCTCAGGGATCTTTTGGGGAGAACCTGGATGTTCTCTATCTGAGGTAGCTGCCTGCTCTCAGAGACACAACTAGCCAGAAACTAGAGATTTCTGTTACTATCCCTCCCAGAAGTGACCCCTTCCACCAAGACTTCCTATGGTTACAGCCTCTAGCCATCTCTAGATTGTCACTTTGGGGCCATCCTGAGCTAGAACCATAGAGTATAGGCACTTGGGTGACATCACAATTAGATAATATTTTAAACCTCTAAAATAGCACATAATTTGTTATACAGGAATAGATATAACCCATCAACCTGGGAACTGGCCTAAATATACAAGTTCTTCAGTCTCCCCCACAAAACTCAGGACTGATTTATGCATTTACAGGGTGTTATCAGATTCCATTTCATCTCTATGATTAATTGTGATAGAACATAACACAAACATCATTTTACTCATTCTAAGCAGACAATTCAGTGGCATTAGGTATAGTCTCCTTGCCATGCAAACGTCACTACCACCATGTTCACAATTCTTTCACCTTCCCAAAGCTCTGTCCTCATCAAGCACTGGCTGCTCAATCATTACATCCCCAGGTCCCTCAAAACCACCATCTTTCTCCTGGATGCATTTGGCACTTCTAGTGACCTTATAGAAATGGAATCCCACAATGTTTGTCCTTTTATGGCCATCTTACTTCACTTGCAGGAGGCACAATGTGCTTACATTTCAGCCGCAGTATCGTATATGCCAGAATTTGCCCGTGTTTAAGGCTGAAGAAGGTTTCCTTGTGTAGACGTAGTATATATATTTTGTTTGACTGATGGCTGAATGATATACATTTAGATTCTTGTCAGCTTTTGGATGTTGTGAATAATTCTGCTGTGCATGTTGGTATATATTAGCAAATACCTGTGTGAGTTTTGGGTTTTAATCCTTTTGGATATGTACCTAGTAATACAGTTGGAGAATTTTTGTTTTTAATGTGAACAGATTTTTTTGAACTTCTATCAACACAGGCAATGCCTACAAAAGAGACTTTGCATTCTATTTAAATCTACAACTTGAAAAGTCTCTCATTATCTACATCCCTCCTAGCTAAATAAACAGTGTGTGGGGGATAAGAAAATGTGCAATGTAAATTTCCCTGAAATGGTAAAATATTTAGGAAGCAATTTCAGTATAGAAAAGCTGTATGTCAAGTTTCTATAATAGTTTTAAAATGAAATCTTCTGAGTCTACGAATCTGTTCTCACAAGATGCATGCATATTGCCATATTAATTGAATTTTGATAAATTGAAAATAGAACAAGTATCTTCTTTGGTTTTAGTCACAGTGTGGCCCAAACCCATCCACTTGTGCTATTTACCTATGAGCTGTCAATTCTGTTTCTTATGAAAGACACAACACACACA